CCAACGAAATTCCTTTCCCACGGTACCGGTGCACACCGATCACCTTACCTGGGACATTGGACACTTGTTGGGACACTGCCCCCTCGATTACCGGGCAAAACCCCCACATGCGCAAGCCAGTCAGCAGTCTCCGACTCTCCTTACCGGGGATATTGGACACTGACTGCAGGGCTAATGATTAGGTAACCTTCTGTTACCGATCAGCCCGCTCTGCACGCGCAGACTATAATTCGGCAATATATATTTATGTAAGAACCCTTTCCACATTCTGGAGTAGAAATAAGATATCTGTAAGACATTCATGGGAAAATCGAAGGCCGGCCGATCTATAAAAGGCACTGCCTTGCATGAAGAAAAGGGCAGTCCACCAGCCATCGTGGGGCAGTCCACCAGCCATCGTTGGAGGCAGTCCACCAGCCATCGTCGGAGGCAGTCAATCAGCCATCGCGAGAGTCAGTCAAATCAACATCCGCGTCGTAGTGCAAGTAAACATAACATAACCGGGTAGAATAATCATACGGAAGAATACGGAAGAATAAAGAAAACCATTAAAATTAAAAGAACCAAAAAGTGTTGTGATTTCTATTTCAGTTTTCTGGCAAAGTTCCTGGTTTTCCCGATAAAGTCCTCGTGAATTATAAATATCTTGTAATTCAGGACCCTGAACAGACTGATGCATACCTCAGCCTGAAATAGGACATTACACTACCTCTGAAAACAAAAAAAAACAAAAAACAGATTTTAAAAAATTCTTTAAAAAAAAACTACACCATAAAAAAAACCATAATTCGTTAAAAATTTTTAAACTCCGAAATCTATAAGAATCTAAATTTTGGGCCACAGCCTAATTCTAGTGTTGACTTGTTATCCAACTCATTCATCAACAAAATTTTGTTTGAAATTTTCTTGATTACAATTTTTCTGTAAAATTCGGTAGCAACCACTAAAAATTAAAAAAAAAATAAAAATAAAAACATGTGCATTACTATTAAATCCAAGGTAACAAAACTAGGGGGTGTCCCGTTTGAATTTCGAAAAAAAAACATTTTTGGCCCAGTCTAATGTATATACATGGTTAGTTTAGATCAGATCAGGGCACTCACCAACACTCACAAACAAAAACACAAACACCAATAAGGGAACAGTGCAAACTCGAAGAAAATACAACAACAAAATCATAACAAAAGTCGCGTAGCACCAATCAGAGAAGAGACAAAACCGGTTTTTGCTGTGTGAAGGAGCAGACGCTCCCCCACATTATTTTTTCACCATGAAGGATCTTTTATTATTATTTACTATTATTTTGTTATTATTATGTTTTATTTTCATTATTAGGTTAAGTGACGGCATTTGTTAGTAGTTAAGCTATGGCATTAATCAAAATTAGTTTAAGTACTTGCTCGGTCGTGACTTAGATGGGAGGGAAAAGCACAGTGATCGCTCGGGCATCACTGATAGCACTGATAAAAGCTCCAGAGTTGACACATGAACCTCAACCACCAACATCAGTACAGAGTGGAGACACGAACCTCAACCACCAACAGCTGTACAGAGAGAGCGGGAGAGCAGAGAGCGAAAGCTCAACCACCAGCACAACAAGGGTGGGTTTATAAGATCGCAAGCACATGGAAAACGGGGATATATTCCAGACCAGCGAGTTGAACGGACGTGCCAGTGGAAGCAGCCAAGAAGACGAAGAAGAAGACAGATTTTGACGGCGAGCTAGGAAAGGGTGAGCAAGTCTCACCGTCGTGAGGAAGAGGGCTGGCGAGCGGTGCGGTTAGGCAGGAGAAGAGGAAGAAGAAGAAGAAGAGATAAAATAAAAATGGAACTTAAATAACTACCAGCGCGTCATCCTCTGTTGATCTGTGCGTGTTCCCAGGCGTTGCTACCGAATTTTACAGAAAAATTTTAATCAAGAAAATTCAAATGTTGATGTTGATGTTGTTGTTGATGAATGAGTTGGATAACACTAGTCAACACAATTTTTCCTCAAGGAACAAAACGAACTTTTTCTTAAAGATTTGGGGCCTAGGTTTGATGATATTTTTTTTTTCTATGGCAGAACTTTTTTCAAAGAATTTTTGAAAACTGGTATTTTTTTTTATGCTTTTTTCAGAGGTAGCGCTTGTTTTAATTGTCTGGACGTTGATATGCAATGACTGCACCATCAAGTGGCCCATGCGACACCAAGCCGAAGCCTGTTACGCGCGGAACCCAGGCAGAAACGCAGCCCTCCTCCCGCCCAACCGACCGAGGGACACTGCCGCATGACGCGCGACGCGTGTTACCGAACCGATCGCGAGCATGCAGGAAAGATAGGTGTTATACTAAAATTCGAGGAAAATTAGAGCTAAACACAACTCTAAGCGCTAAACATGCAAAGATAGCTAAAAAATATAACTAATTACGGGAAAGGTATGTTAGTATTAGTGATTTAAGAAGAGGAAGGGAATTAGTAGTTGATATTATGTGGTAGAGGGAATTGAAATCCGAGCAAAGTACCCTAAATGGTTCGTGCAAGGAATAATTCGATCTACAAAGCGGAAGGAAAATAGGAATGAAGTTTCTAGTAGATCTAATAGGAATCGTAAAGTTTATGCGGCTCAACAAGTCAGGGCTATCTACATCACCCTTGATCAGGATGTGCATAAAAATCACACCAAGCATTTTTCTACGACTAACTAAGGTTGGAAGGTTTATTAAAAGCAATCTACGAGGATAAGATGGCAGTCTCACACCTGCATCCCAGTTAAGGCCACGCAGAGCAAAAAGTAAAAAGTTTTTCTGCACTGATTCTATACGGTCCTGGTGTACTTTGTACTGGGGGCACCATACACAAGAGCCGTATTCTAAAATCGGACGAACAAGCGAGATATAGAGAGTCTTCGTTATATAGGGGTCGTCAAATTCCTTTGACCACCTCTTTATAAACCCAAGCACACCCATGGCCTTATTTACCATGGTAGAAATGTGTTCAGAAAACTTTAACTTTGGGTCTAATTTAACACCAAGATCATATACCAAGGTAATTCTCTCAAGAGAACCACCGCAGAGGCTATAAGGAGCCAATGTCATTACTTTGCATTTCGAGGCATTTAGGTGTAACATATTTGCACAACACCATGATTGAAAGTTATTGAGATCGGATTGCAAGCGGGAGTGAAATGAAATGTCCTTATACTGGACACAAAGTTTAACATCACCCGCATACATGAGTACTCGAGAGTTTGTTAATACTGAAGGCAGATCATTAACAAAGAGTGTGAATAGTAGGGGGCCTAGATGGCTGCCCTGTGGTACTCCAGAAGTAACCTTAACATGTGAAGAGAAGGAGTTTTTGAAGAGGACTCTTTGAGACCTAGAACAAAGGTAGCTAGAAATCCATCTCAAAAGATTAGGCGGAAACCCTAAAAGGTCAAGTTTTTGTGCTAAAAGAGAATGGTTTACAGAATCAAATGCTTTACTAAAATCAGTGTTATTTGAGCGCAGAGGCGTTGCGAAGTCCCAGGATCAGTTCCCAAAGATAAAAACGATAGGCAGGTCCAAGTTTCTTCAGTATTTATTCGTAGGGGTTTTATACACTAATTGTATATGTAATCGCGTGCGAAGGTAACCCGTGTCGCTTAGGATGAAGGAAGCGAATGTGTCTTGAAGTTACGCTCAAGCTGCTGAGGGCTGCAGCGAGCGAGAGCGGGAGCGCACGTAGATGGAAGTTACGCTCAAGCTGCCGAGGGCTGTCGGCAGCGAGAGCGGGAGCGTGATCGTGGGCGGGAGCGTGCCCGTGGTGAATTTAAGCATGAAGAGAGCGTCGCCGGGGGGAAAAATGCTCTTAAGTATGAGGGCGAAAGCGAGGGCAGCCGCTTGCGTAGCTGGAGTGCTAACACTGAGATGTGGCTGGAATGCCCACAGAGCGGTTGCCCCGCCAGCGCCGTCCCCACTCTGAACATTCTCCCCCCCCTTGCAGGATTGCAAAGAGTGTTTAAGTCTGCGTGCACGCACCAGACACAATCCACCCAAACACCGTGCTTTGGGCCACGGGGAGGCCGTCTTCGCGGGCGAGGAAGCCCGGCTGGATGACCTTCGGATAGACACCTGCTCCCAAGACGAGCGAAATGGTCGCCGGCTTGTGGAACTCCGTATTGGCCAGCTTCAGATCATCGAAGCGAGCCCGAAGCGAGTGCGGACGCGGAGACGGGGCTCGATTTTGAAGACGGCCTCCCACTGGAGTCCTTCCGTCTTAGCCCGGATTATGGCGGTGCACACTCTCTCATCCCCGATGCAGGTGGTTGGCAGCTTCAATTCCTGAGCCACATCGGCGTCTATGCAGCTGACCGGCGTACAGGGATCGATGAGGGCGACCATGCTGTGCGTCCTCTGTTGCACCGCGAGGACCACCCGTGCCGTCGGAAGGACGTTAATGCTCCGATGCTGGAGCAAGGAGTGCACTGTCGGGGCCGGATCCCCGAGGACAGGGCGGCTGACCGGACGACGAGGGCGTCGCTCTGCGCGGGAGGTTGTAGGTGGAGACGTCGATGCCGAAGAGGAGCCGACGGGGCGCCGCGGTCCTGGAAGGTGGAGCAGGGTGTGGTGGTTTTTAGCGCACGTCTTGCACTTGTCTCCACTGCGGCAGTCCTTGCCCGAGTGGGCGTGAGCCAGGCAGTTCGAGCAGTATTTATGCAACAACACTGCTCGTAGCCTCTTCTCGCCGTTCATGCGCAGGAATGTTCGGCAACTCTTCAACGGGTGGACTCCTGGGCACACTCGGCACTTGAACGAGGCACTCCTACCTCGTGCCGGTGTGCTATCGGCTTTGCGGCTTGCCCGGGACTGCGCGGAATGTTTGGGTGCCATGGCTATACTCCGGAAGATGACTGTGATGGAAGAAAAGAGTCAAGGAAGGATTAGTACAGTGTTGGCACGGATTGTCAACGATTCGAAAAGGGAGCTTTCGGAACTGCTTAGGAACTACGGATACTATTGCTGGATTAAGCGGATTCTTAGGGATCGGAGCCTACGCGAGGGTAGGTGGAAGGGACTTCCGAATCCATAGGCAGCAGAACCACCTTCGTGATCGGTCGCTTGATAAGGCCGCGGGCGGTGAGTAAGTCTACCACGCGAACCTTTTCATCGGGTCCCGGATACGTGCTCTGAACACGGCCGAGACGCCATTCGTGAGAGGGGATGTTTTCCTCCTTGATCACTACGAGGTCTCCAACCTCGAGGTCCCTTGTCGGATGCTGCCATTTGTTGCGCTTGTGCAACTCTCGCAGGTACTCTGTCTTCCAGCGCGAACAAAATTGCTGGTTGAGAGCCTTGAGGTGTTGCCAGCGGTTTAGGATGGAGGAGGCGTTCGCCTGAATTTCGGGCTCTGCCACGGATAGTAGCGGCCCACCAATCAGAAAATGACCTGACCTGACCAAAGCCAACGGGTCCGTTGGGTCCTCAGACATTGGAGCGATTGGTCGCGAGTTAAGGCATGCCTCAATCTTGGAGAGAAAGGTCGCGAACTCCTCTAATGTGTATTTGGAAGTACACATCGACCGTTGGAAAAGAGCCTTGAAGCTCTTCACACCCGCTTCCCATAAGCCCCCCATATGTGGGGCCCCTGGAGGGATGAATCGCCACGTGAGCCCCTGCTGGCTGTACACCGCGGAGGTCCGAGTGCGGAGGGCCTCGAGAAGGTCCACAGCCAGAGAGCGGGATGCGCCGACAAAATTCCTCCCGTTGTCGGAGTGGACTTCGTGGGGACAGCCTCGTCTCGCGACGAACCGGGCGAAGGCGGCTAGGAAAGTGTCGGTGGACAAGTCGGACGTAGCCTCCAAATGGATGGCCTTCGTGGTAAAACAAACGAAAACGCACACATACCCCTTGGAGATGCGACAGGCGCGTCCTGTGAAACTTTTCACGTCGAACGGCCCGGCGAAGTCGACTCCGGTGTATGTGAACGGCCGCAAAAATGTAACTCGTGAGGAAGGAAGGTCGCCCATTAATTGGGTTTGGAGTCGCTTGCGATGGATGACGCAGACCTTACAGGAGTGGATTACTGCCCTCACGACGTGACGTAGTCGAGGGATCCAGTATGTTGCCCGGAGAAGGCGGATGACCAGCTGGTTCCCACCATGTAGGGATACGTGATGGGTGAATCGAACCAGTAGGCGAACCAGGAGGCATGCGGGTGGCAACAGGATTGGATGCCGCTCGTTGTAGGTCATGGATGCCGAGGCTCGGACCCGGCCACATGCCCGCATGACCCCGTTCTGGTCCAGGAACGGATTGAGGTTCTGAAGAGAGCTCGTAGTCGGAAGTGGCTGCTTGTTTACAAGACAGCGATGCTCCGCCGTATAATGGAAGCGTTGGGTCGTGATGGTGACAGCTTGGAGAGCTGCAGCGACCTCTTTATTGTCTAGCTCTGTGGATACGTGGACTGGCGTTGCTTGCCCTCTGACGCGCTGGCCGAACCGCCGAACGTAGGCGATCACGCGCAGAGCGCGTCCGAATTCGGAAAATCGGCTGAGAATGTCCGAGGCGGTGTCAGTGGCGTGGTGAACCTTGACGGCTCGTTTCTCCAAGTCGGTCTCAAGGATTGAGCCTCGTGGACAAGGCCACTCCGACTGCGGACCACGCAGCCACGCAGGGCCATGCCACCACATGTCATTGCCGACCAGTTCAGTGGGTCCGAGCCCTCGACTGGCGAGGTCGGCCGGGTTGTCCTCGGATCGGACGTGGCTCCATCGTTCGCGGGGCCAACAGCGAGTGATTTTGGCGACTCGATTCCCTACAAAACGTGGTCCAATCACATGCCGGCCTGTTCAACCAGGCCAACACAATAGTGGAATCGGTCCAAAAGTACACCTGGCTGGCGTCGAGCGGCATTTGAGGAAGGATGGCCACGGAGAGTTCTGTCAGAAGGACAGCTCCGCACAGCTCGAGTCGAGGCAACGAGACTGTTTTCACGGGGGCAACGCGGGTTTTGGCTGTGAGAAGGGTACACACAATGCCTGCGGACGCTCAACTCGGACGTAAATCGCTGCCCCATAGGCACGTTGAGACGCGTCGCAGAACCCATGAATCTGTACCTTGGCCATCGGACAGACGTGTAACCACCGCGGAATGCGGATCCCTTGGATGGCCGGAAAGCTTTTTAGGAATGTCTCCCAGGCTTGAGACAGATCGTTAGGAAGGACGTCATCCCATCCTAACTCTCTCAACCAAATCTCCTGCATAAATATTTTCGCTTGGACGACGAAGGGGGCAAGCCATCCCGCTGGATCAAAGAGCTGCGCGATCTGGGACAGCACATTGCGCTTCGTGCAGGATTTTCGCTCGTTTAAGGCGGGAGGCGAAAAGAAGAACTCGTCGGCACTGGCTTGCCATCGGATTCCCAACGTCTTAGCGATGCTACTCTCTTCCAGCTCTAGGAAGTCAGCGCGGAGTAAGTGGTCGACTGGAATGTCGCGCAGGACGCCCTTATGGTTAGCTGTCCACTTTCGGAGCGGAAACCCTGCAGAGTCGAGTGCTTCGCGTAGTTCAGCAATGGCGGAAATTGCCTGAGACTGAGAGTGAGCACCAGCGAGCACGTCGTCCACGTACATGTCGCTCTCCAGGATGACGCTTGCCATCGGCAGCTGTGGACGCACCTCTTGTGCGAGTTGCTTGAGGACGCGGAGGGCGAGGTACGGTGCGCAGTTGACTCCGAAAGTGACCGTGGTGAGCTCGTAGTCACACACGTCCCCGTTACGGTCGCGAAACAGTTTTCGCTGATAGGGCGTGTGTTGGGAAGCCACTTGGATTTGCCGATACATCTTGTTGATGTCGGCATTGAAAACGTAGCGAAAGACGCGCCACCTCAGGATTTGCATGGTCAAGTCAGACTGAAGGACTGGCCCAGCATGCAACGTGTCGTTGAGGCTTTTCCCGTTGGAAGACGGGCTGGAGGCGTTGAAGACTACGCGCAATTTGGTTGTGGTGCTGTCGGGTTTAAACACGGCGTGATGTGGCAGGTAGAAATGGCCGGAATCATGACTAGGTGTAACCGCTGTCATGTGGCCGAGCTCTAAATATTCCTGAATGACGGAGTCGTACTGCTTCTTGAGCGGCAAGTTCCGCTGCAGCCGCTGCTCGTTTCTAAGGAACTGGGCCTTGGCCGCGCTTCTGGAGTGGCCTAGCTCGACTTTTTCTGGACACTTGAAAGGGAGAGTAACCACGTATCTCCCATCGGGGGTTCGTTTTGTGGTCTGGAGGAAGTTTTCCTCGCACACTGAATCGGACTCGCTCGTCGGTCTCCCCGGAAGGTCCTCCACCTCCCAGAATTTGGTGAGAAGCTTCTCGAGTCGGACATCCGAATTAAACGAGAGCTTCGTGGTGAAGGCGGAAACCGTCCGAGCCGAGTCAGCTGATACCGGACCGGATAGGACCCATCCGAAGATGGTCTCTTGTCCCAGCAGCGAGCCACAAATGGCAGACTGGAAGCCGCTCAACAGGATAGCAGGAAGGATGTCAGCGCCTAGAAGCACATCAATCTGCGAGCTTCGGTGGAAGAAAGGGTCTGCCAATTGGAGGTTTGGAAGGTTATCCAAGAAGTGCTGCGGTATCGGATATGAAGGAAGGTTCCCTGCTAATTGAGGCAGAACATATGCCGTGGTCTCGATCTTGAGGCCCGCCCTGGAGGCGGCCCCGATCATGAAGTGGCAACGCTTTTGCGCCTTAGCCGCTACGGTTTGGTTTAAACCCGCGACTTGAGCCTGGATAGCTTCGAACGGTGGCTTAATGATGTTAAAGAGGCGTTCAGTGATGAACGTCGCTTCGGAGCCTGAGTCGATCAGAGCGCGGGCACGGAAATTGGTCCCCAGGTGGCAAATATTAATGAGTGCTGTGCCCAGAAGAACGGTACTTGTGCTGGAAGAGAAATAGCTCTGTACGTTGGGCTGAGAATCGGACGAGCTGGGGGTTTGGGCGGATGTCGAAGCCGCCATGTTGGACGGAGGCGCGGAACGATGCAGAAGCGTGTGATGCCTGGCTCCACAAGTGGAACAATTGTGGCTGCTTGAGCAGTCGCGAAGCTGATGGCCTCTTGCGAAGCAATTTAGGCACAGCTGTTTTGTCTTGATGCACTTGGAACGTGCATCAGCGGACATGTTGAGAAAGCGCGGACATAGTCGGATCGGGTGATTCTCCTTGGAACAGAGATCACACGTCCTCTTCTTCGGACTCACTTGGTTCTTGAAAGAAAGAACCTTGTTCGGCACCGAACTGCCGTGCGACCGGAATGGATTGGATCGGCTGCAAGAAGTGGATGGATTCTGGCCGCCTTGGGAGGGTGGCAGATTCGTAGCCACTCGGGAAGTGGAAGGGTCGCTCTCAATAGCTTCGAGCGTCAAATAGCGCTGAGTGAGGAAGGAGTCGATTTCCTTCCAGGGCGGCACTTCCTTCTTGTCCGTCACGGACGCTTCCCATAAGGCGCGGCTTAGCTTCGGCAACTTTGAAGCGCAGATAGTTACAAGCAGACTATCCCAATTGTCCGTGCAAACGTTGGAGACCGCTAGCGCATTTAGGACTCCCTGCATCGTACTTTGAAGTTCCTTCAAAGCCCGACTGCATTCGGAAGTTACGCGGGGCAAGAAGAGGAGAATGTTAATTTGGTTGGTCACCAGAAGCCGATTGTTCTCATATCGGCTGCGGAGAGCCAACCAGGCGGACTCGAAACCGTCATTCGTGAGGGGGGACTTTTCTACAATGGCCTTTGGGTCGCCAATGGTCTTCTCGGTGAGGTAGTATAACTTCTCTACCGGAGATAATTTTGGATTGTTTATCACGACCGCGGTGAACAGATCCCGGAATGTGGGCCAGCGGACGTAGTCCCTGCGAAAACCTCAATGTTGACGGGAGGCAGTCGACAGCCGCCCTGTTGGACTGGCTGTGCGGGAGGAAGGACTGCGGAGGGGGCCAGCTGGGCATTGAGGTCGCTGAGACACTGCTCAAATACCCCATAGCATTCGCCATATGTTTACCGGATGTCCGCTTGGATTTCTGGATCCTCGTCAGCCATCACCGCGGAACAGGCCTTGTATTCGGCCTCGACGTCCGTCCACATGCTGAGGATTTGGCCTCGGCGGACCTCGGACAGAGGGGCGGATGGGGCGGAAGTGATACGCTCTGCCAGGTGGGATAGTCGGCCAATGGCGGCTACCAACTTGGTCCGAGCGGCAGAGGTGGCGGATTGAGCCATTGTGGTGAAGTGGCGAGAGCTGACGGGACTAGTGATGCAGCCTTTCGGATCCTGTTTAGTCACCGATGGAACCTTAAGGGTCACCGGAGACGGGAATAGGACCGATTTGGTCCTTGTAGCAGGGCTGCTACTGGCTGCTCTCGAAGTGAGGGATGCCTTGATTGGCTGTGTCGGAGTAGTTCCGGAGGCGGACTAGGTGCGTAGCCGGTTGGACGAGGTCACAGGCAAAAGTTGTTTGCCGTCCTTGTGACCTGTTGGCATAATTTAAAAGGACCCACGCAAGAAAAAATCGTGTTTTTTTTTTTGGAAGTCTGTGAGGGACTGCAGACTGGTCTGAATAGAGTTGACTCGGAACCGTCAGGAAACACCCGTAACCCAAACACGGACTATCAGACAAAAGGCCTCAAGCTAGCTGGAAGGCAATAATCGGAACGACTCGGATTTTTTGAGGTCACCTGTAGGTGAGAAAGTGACCCTATATTGAGCCGAGCTGAGGGGAGGAACGGTCACACTGGAGTAGCAATATTTGGAAATATTGACTGTGCGATGCTCCTCCGTTTACCCCTTGACGCAGTCGTGAGCGGAACTGGGTTACTATCGGATGGAAGGAATCAATGGAAGCAGGCACGGACACCTCACAGAAACGGAACAACAATAACTTCTTTGTCAAAACAAAAAAAATATTTTTTTGTTTGTGAACAAAAAAAGACTTGGAGGTTTTTCTTGGACGTGGTCGGAGTATTTAATTATTTAACTAATTTTGTTTTCTATTCGGATGAACACCGGGTTCGGATGCCGATAGTTTTTGGGCCACCTCTCACTCTCGGAACAAAAAAAAATATCAAAACACGCAACACAATTTGCCAATTTGTAAGGTAAATTGCCAAATAATTACGGAAAATGCGCCGTGCCTTGGTCGCGAGTAATTAATTTGGACTCTGGAGAATGTGGGAGAAATTGGAGACCTTGCGAAAAGTGGCTGGAGGGCACGAATTTCACTTAATCGCGGATTTTCAAATATGGCACTTGCGCGGAGTGGTAGAATGCGGTATTTAATTATTTGGTATTTTTGTTGAATGTGTGTATGTATGTATATAGTTGGGAGCCAACTATGCAAGTAAATGTAATAAATAAATAAATAAAATAAATAATAAATTTAATTAAGAAAACACAGGTAGCTGGATGGATACTTTTATTGCTGCTGTAATGTGTATATGTTGGTATGTGTGTGTGTTCACTTGCACTTGGAGTGTGCCAGTGTATATTGTATTAGGGTAGGGCGCGGATGGAATGCTCTTGGAGACCTGTATATCAATGTAGGTGTGTGTGAATTCACTTGCACTTGGAGCGTGCCAGTATATATATTATTGGGGTAGGGCGCGGATGGAACACACTAGAAAAATATTAATGTATGTGTGTGTGTAT